CTTAAAATTGCATAAATAGACACATACTGAACTGAATATGTTTGCTTTCCATCTCTGCAACAACATAGAGCGTTGCTTCATGCTTTTTAGCAATCGTCGGTAAGGTATAGGTCTAGTCGTCATTTGCATTTCCAGCGTATAGGCCACCTCTTTGTGCACAACAACGTTGTACGCGGTTAGTCATAGTTACTGAGTTTCTCTGAGGCTATATAATGTGTGTGTGTGTGTGTATGTCAAAGCTAATCGAAAATCAAACGCCTTGCTTGCGCCCACTTTGCGCTGAATCGCTGAAAGATAAAAAATCCTACACTACTTCGGCTGGATGTGGTGCCAACCGCTTTCAAAAGCGGGTATTGTTCAGCGCCTGAAATTCCAAAATTCAGGGTGTCCTGAAAGTTGAAACCTTTTCAGAAACAACTACCTTTGTTAAAAGACAACAAAAAGTAAAAAAAATCTCACCGTTTATCGATAATAAGTTTTAGGTACAGCTCTGTCACTTGTAAGTATTGTTAGTTGCATGCGATAGATTCAAAGCGTCGGTGTAGAATTTCAGAATCCCCACTTTTCCCTAATGAATACAGCAGATTGCAAAATTCGAACACGTAGTTCGTCAACCGTGTTCACCTCAGTTTTACATTTGAACATTTCATTTCGTCCCAAACAAAAAATAAGAAATCACGAAGGATCTTGGAAAAAGGATCTGCAAGCACTCGCGAAGCCTCGATAGCATTTCGAAGACACTCATCGTAAATTAAAATAATATGGACGGACACAGAATGTCCAATTTTTGTTTTTTTTACAACCGATGTGTAAAGGTTTTGTTTACCAACGCGGCCAGCGCCTGGGTTGAGTACTGCTCATTTTGCTCAGATTTATACGCCGTGTAAAGTCATGACTTTGAGGACACCCTGTATAGTTAGGCGCATATTGCGCTTCTTTGATGATAGATGCAGTCAGTGTAAACGTAGAAACTACCAACCTACATCAATTCGATCCGATGCGATGGGATAAATATGTTTTATGTAGATAGGTTTTCAGCTGTGTGAGTTAATTATGCAAATCGGGTCGGCCTTGAAACGATATCGGCCGAACCGAGGAACGAGTTCATTGCTTCGTGGCGCGTCGATCGACGCTGCGTCGCTGCTGTCAACTGTTTTTTATAGCAGCGGCCGCGTCGTAGTCGCCCGGGACGAGATTCTTCTTGCTTTTGTTTCTTTGTTTTCGGGGGTCCGTCGCCGTTCGTCGTCTGTCATTTCTTCCAGTTTGTCGACCCAATGAGGGATCCCTTTCACTAACAACGTTGTTGATTTTGAGAAATTTGGTTCGGAAATTAGATATCAGCCTACAAGCAGACATCTATGGAAGAAGACACAACACTGGCCATGTCTTCCCGCCTGGTGAGCTGCATGGCAATAGAACTGACTACCTGTAATAAGATATATTGATATGAAGGTATACCTTCATGGAGATCTCAACTTCAGGCGATGTGGAAGAAAGGCAGAGTGCATAGACGATCTTCAATTTTCTTTGAGAGTGCGACGTCTAGACCATAAAGGGCAACCACTTTTTGAGAAATCGAGAACCGGTACAATACCAGCAGGGAAATAACAAGTCAAGACTGCTAGACTGAGAGCTAGCTGTAAACCACAAGGAGCAATGGTAACTGAAAAAAAAATTAACATGAACATGTATTCTACTGTAGGCTGTTTTGTGGAACGCATTTAGGAAATATTTTTCCGTAAGGCATAGAAAGTGCAGTCATCATCTACTACCGGGTAGGAAAGTATACCTTACCTTTCATGCTGTTGGGTTATATGATTCTACTTATCGCAGTAAAGCTATACTTAATACTGTTGAACTGTTTGAACTCTGCATATGTTAAATCACATGTTTCTCCTGTTTCATATTGCTTTGCCTTGTTGGCTTGTACTTACGTATGTGAGTATTGTAAACACCTTAGGATTCCACTTTGTCTACTTACTTTTCTTCTTATTATTATTATTATTTTTGTTTGTATATTGTGTTAGTTTCTCTCGCACTGTGGGGTTAAGTGTAAGAGTAGCTAACTGTACAATTAGTATTAATAAAGGGATTTATTATTATTATACCTTATGAATAGGCGTTAAACTCTAGTTTTGCTGATGACCGTCGACCACTAGAACTGGCTGGCTATAGTTTGGTACCGAAACGGCTACCGCTTTCTTTGAATTTGGAGGGATCCGCGCGCACCGACTTTGCTCATACAAAGGCCTCAGCAGCGACGAAGCTGGATGACACTCCCCAACAGCGCTAGATGGATACTGACCAAAATCGCTCATCTATGATCATGGAGGCGGAAACCTTCCCTAATGTACAAGATGCGGTGTTGCCAAGCGAACAAATGATGCATTGTTGCAGTAAACGCAAGCAAGTAAAATCATTAATTGGCGTAGAGAGTAAAGTAGCGCATATTTTCAACATGCATCTTAATTCAATGATCTGGTTTTAATATATTGGCCACGGGGCAGATTGCCCCGTCAGCGTTGCTAGGCAACCCGGTGATAAGCTTTTCTATCCAGCCGGCTTCTATCTCTTTCTATTCTAGTATTACGCTGCGCGCCATAAACACCCACGTAAAGCCCTAGATACGTAAGCTATGATTAGACCAAAATCTGCATCCTTTTTTCGGCTATTCTACAAGAAGAGAAAGACTCTCCAAAGGTTTAGTATACTCACATACTGGCTCTCTCTGTTCGTCATATTATTTTTTTAAACGATTTTTCATGTCCTCCTTCAATACGTGTTATTTTTATTCATTTATTCAAAAATACTTGGTATCGTGTTTCAAGTTAAGTATTCTACCTGTTTACATATGATATAAGAAGCGTGGTAATCATATTTTTACTCTTGAAACCCCTTGGTAAAATACCTTCCAGAGTAATATTCCCAAGACGATATCATGCGACCTTCCACGAAGTCATGATCTTTTTCAGACCTTTTACCTGAAAGGTCCACCCAGCAAAAATCTTGCAATTGGAGAATACTTTCTCAAGGTCATACAGGTCATTCATGTTACTTGCGTAATAAATTGAAAAAATACTGAAAGTCATCTATTGGATGAAGTCCACAAGTCTACTGCGCAAGAAGTAAAATTCTCCCTGCAATAATACTCAAAACACCGTCTCTACCCCCGCTACTTTTTTTTGCCTTTTACTTGACACGCCAACTGGCGAGGAAGAAGTGTAATCTCGTAAAATTTCAAAAATAAAAAACCATGCCAGTCATTTCCGACGATCTGTCTGCGTTTCGGTTTTTGATGAAATTTTAACTAATGTGGCAAGGACAAGAAACTTTGTAGCTTTTGAAAAATCGATCAACTCGATCAAAAAGACCGCTTAAACTTCTACTTTTGAAGTTACAGAGACTCCTGATAAATATTGAATTTTCTTAGAAGAGTAAACAATTGGAGGCGGGGGTCTCCAGGGGGCGAGGAAGGGTATATGTTGACAGTTTGGTGTTAGTGGTATTAAATACGCTTTTAAGCCTGCTCATTCCACATATTTTAAACATAGAATTCCGTATACGTTTATCCTCAAGACTTGAAATGTGCGTCAAGTGCTACGAAGATAGTTGCGAAACCTGTCGCGAACTGCCCGCTACCGCTGAAACGGCTTACTGATTGCAACGTGGTCGGAAAGTCCTATGCGCAGTGGAGAAATATGTTCTACTTTTTTTTAGAGGGGCTAACTTTTAGCGAACAATATATCTTATGTATAAGTGATGAAAGCGTTGCGTGGTGAGTATACAGTCGCCAGACTTGGCGTATTTTTTGCAAGAAAGTAATCAATTGAAATCAGGATAATAGATTTATAAGAGGCAACGTTTTCAGAATAAAAATAATCCATGGCTTGAAAGCTCGACTGTCTCCGCAAGAGGTCAGGGAATTCTAAAAATACTTCTCCCGAACGATGATATAGAGAACGAACGAACGAAATAATGTTTGCTTGCCTGTCAGTCCCAGTTCCAGTCGACGCTGTACACCTGTTCGGGAATTCGGGACACTGTCGATAGACATACAAACAGTTTAATTCGAATGCATCTTGTTACGCTTATTAATCTGTGAATGTAGGGAATTTGATTTTTATAATTATATAAACGTACTACTAGTAAGTGTTGTTAGAAAGAACATAATAATTTAGGACTCACGAAGGCGAAGCTTGAATGCCAGATACCGTAGCCATGACACAGACGTCCTGGAGAGTTTGTTAAATGAGAGGAATCGGAAAAGGATCGTCTTGGTGAATTTTCTTTTTAGTCCCATAAAAAAAGGAGTCCCATGAACTAGTTATTGACACAGTCATAGAGGCAGATCAGTATTTTTCACACATGAGTTGTTCAACAGACCCATATTCCCCTGGTTGCTTTCTGTCATATGTCTCAAAACGTTGTTAATTTTTTTCGTAGAAAAGTTCCTGTAATATTTGTTTCCAAACTGGGCAATAAGTGGATAAGTTTAGACTCATAGTACAACAGAAGGATAAATTACCACAAAACCAACAAAACTACAAAAAAGGCTACCCTCTCTACATTGCATATATACCTATAACAAAAACGAGGACAATTCAATATATTTAGAACACTGCCTATTTCTTTCATTCATTTTTATTTATGATTAACTCATATTTCAATTATATTATTAATAAGGAAAATATTAAGCTTTCGAAATAAGCCCTCCTCTGTTCTCAAACAAATCTCTAAAAAAATCTCTAATATCAGTTAATGTATACCAATGATATTTATCGTCTATATTCGTACAATTTCCTTTATTTACACTTTCAATAATTCTGTGTCGTCCTAGCCTTGGTTCAAGCCGTACAACGTAATTTTATCCACAAAGATCGTAGTATTTTATTCTTATGGCCTTGCAAAGGTGAGTCTTGTAATTTTCAAATCTTTATAACAATTTCTCAATATCAGTTTTAACCGAATACTGAGTAAGGAATTTATTTTTATTGTTGCAGGCGGTACTGGTAGCATGTGTTGATGCAACCTTTGGAAACCATCATTGTGATCGAAGGTAAGTTTACAATAATTTATTTCTATCTGTAAATTCTCTGTGCGCAATTCTGGGCAAATGGGCCTTGACGGCTGTGAACATCCTTGTCCCTTGACATAAGGAGTATCATTGAAAAACATTATTGTTCTTTTTATACTCCAACCACCACGAAGGCCTAAGGCCTAAACACCCATGGGGTACCGTGGGGCTATAGGGGAATACAGGGGAAAGGGGGAACGCCACACGGACTCTGGAGAGGGAACACGTGTACATGCAACATGCACACATTCTGGCCCCGCCTACGGGATCCGCCGGGTGGTACCTCCGCGTTCGACAGTCAGAGACCGTCTACCACCTACGGACAATCACAACATCCACAGCCAAGAGAAAAATTTCTCCTGGGACGGGATTCGAACCCGCACAGCGCACGGCGACTGATTAGGAGACCGAAGAGTCTACTACTGCGGCCACCGCTGCTGCCTCGACGGTGCTATAATGGTACTGATGAACGACAAGTAAATGAATGAATGTTTGGAAACGAACAATATCTATGAATTTTTTATATCTCTTCTCGTCTTCTTTGAAAAAGTAAGTAAGCGATAGTTGTGTTTAGTGTACAAGTGGCATTTGATCATTGATAGATAGGTTGTGACGAGCTGCTTTAATCTATTCATTATGCCTAAGGTGAGAGGACGAAATAATGTTCAACATCTTAGCAGGGGGCGAATAGTGGGCTTGTATGGGGCTAGTTGGTCCTTCAGAGAAGTAGCCACCAGGGTACACAGAAGTCTAAATACGATGGTGGTTTGTTGTCGGGCTTAAAATCAGGACATTGAAATTATGGCCTTTGAATATAAATCATAGTAACTATCTCATCTTTCATACGTTCGGCTGGCCACAAACACCCTTGGTGCTGTAATAGAATGAATAAAATTGAAGTAATTTTTTTTATTGAAAAAATCTCTGGACAATTTTAATACGCCCCCTAGTATCTTCGTTGCACGTCGTCTAAGACCTCGATGACACTGCGGCATGCAGCTGAAGTTCCGATCGATCACGTTCTGATCGAAACGGTAAAAAGGCAGCAGTGACGAAAATTTCCCATTGCCACTGGGGCCGCTGAATTAGGATCAAACCCTCTGCAGGTAAAGAATGTCTCGTGTTCCGGTGTAGCTGATGTTGCTAGAGTCACAAAGCTCAATATTATGCGAAATATGTGTGATATTATTCTCTAACAGGTAGATAGGGATCACACATTTCTGGTTAATGAAACGATTTTTATTTTTTTACTAAAATTACTAAGAAACTGTTGATCCGTCTTGTTTTCGGAATTCCCTTCCAAATCAAATAAAATAAACCTCAAGTGAATTCGTCATCTTTCAAAAATGTCTGAGGGCTTGCAAATGCTGCATAAACATATATCTTTGAATTGAAATATCCAAATTCCGAGTAAAATCACACTTCACGTTCAAGTAATTTTTGTGCTTGTACAAGCCTACTTGGGCGAATAAATCTCTTTGTAAAAACGGAAATCGCACGCTAGCGCCAGCCAAAAAGTTGGGGCCTGTGCAAAAACTGGCCATCCAGATATTTAAAAACAATGGAAAAATAAACAAATCTTGAAATACTCTTCATGATCTTGTAGAGCAAGGTTTTATCGTTAATTTAGATACATGACGACCTCAAAAATTATACTCCACCTTTTAAGCATTTAATACATAATAATTTAAACAGTTTCATTAAATAAATTACAATTTTTTTCTCGGATAATTTTGTTCGGATTTTCTTGGATCATTGCGATCAACAAAGGCTTCCATTAACTTTTCTCTAAAGCTGACCATTTTCGAGTTATAAGCAATTGGATTTCTGAGAATCCCTAAAAGTGGGTATATTTAATGCTTAAAAAACTCGATTAAAAATCATAAATTTTGAGGTCGCCAAGTATCTAAATTAAACCCTACAGTTCTAACAGTAGATTTACAGTTTTTCAAAAATCTTCCAAGTTTTCAGTTCGGTCCTTCAAATCTACACTTTCTGTAAGGAAATTTTTTTCGAATTCTTAAATAGTATATTTCTGAAATAATTTAATGAAACACAAGAATAGACTTTGCCTGTGCTCTTTAATTTTTTTAAATAGTTTTTAAATGTTCAAAACCGAATGTTGCTCAAGCAAGGTGCCTCCATCTTCAATTTTCAACCACCGGTAATTTTTTACTTCAATGTCTACGAAAATTGCCGAAAAATTTTGCACAAGTTTACCGATCGTTTACAGATCGACTATACCTGGCAACACTGGTTTTATTTCTGACCTACCCTCAAGAAAATCTACTTTTAATCAAATTCTTTTTGAAGCGGTTCTGGTTCTGGTTGACCTTAAGGGGCATGAACATAACAGAATTCAATCAATTTTTGTCATTTTTATGTCACTCAAGGGCAAACAGAATCAGAACCGCTGCGAAAAGAACTTGCTTCAGGTTAAGTCAGAAGTACGCTGTTCGTAAGCAATATACTATTTTCGCGAGCATCTATCGCGGAACAATGTCAAAAAATGACAGCTGATCATACATGCAAAACGCAAATTATTTTTGAGCGGTTGTGGTTCTGGTTGGCCTTGAGTGAATTTGAACAGATTTTGAATGGAAATATTCTACAATTTTCTACAGTTTTTTTTTCAAGATCATATACAGGTTTTTTCTCGGATGGGGTTGGCACCGCTGCTCCAGCTTGACTCCTGCCGCACGCATGCGCAGTTGCATCTTTATACTCCTGTGCTCAGCACCAATATCGTTCCACCACACTTTGTATTCTCAAGCACGTCTTCTAAAACGTTCGGGAGCATATCACATCGAACCAAAAACTACTGGAAAGCAGCTCTTGTATCAGTATTCCGCATCCCGAATCAAAAGATATAAACCTCACGCAAACCTGATCGTGCACAGGTGCCATGAAGGCATGCAAGTGCGTGGTTATAACGCATTCAGTGACGAGCTGCACCAGCACTGTTGACTAGTCAGCCGGTAGACCTTCACACCTTCCGAACAACGTTGCACGAGGCGTTCGGCGTTCTTGACTGTCTTTTTTTCGCGAAAGTGAAATCGCGCGCACGCGGCACCGGCGGCAGTGGAACTGGCAGCGCTGCCAGCGACGGCGATCGGTACTACTAACGAACGGTCTCACGCGGTGTTGCCGGATCGACTGTTGACAAAGGCTAGAAAGATATTGGATATCTGTGCTAACTTTGTCTCTTATTATCATTTTATCTAGTATTATAAATTATTTCTATAATAGTATTTTTCTGGTAAGGTAAACGAACGCGAATTGACAAACAATAGTTATAAATTAAGCGAACTTTAGCCATTTGCTCAACCATTATGTGCTGTCTTTTTTTCTGTAGTTACTTGAGCAACAAAAGCGATTTATTATTAAGTGCCTGCAAAGTAACCTTATGCCTTGATTCGCAATGTAGGGAGGGCTTTTGTCAGCAGCAAGAACAATTGATTTCACTTATTTGGGTGGGCTTTGGGACACAATGGGATATACGGTAATGATGTGGTCCTGAGCCAGCCTCAGGTGAGACGACACAGAATTAGAAGGATAACAGAGAAACTATATATCAGAGTAACACTTTCTGAATATTTCTGTCAGATACAAGAGCTCATCTTAGAGCCTATTATCAAAGTTCGCCGTATTTGCGTATATTGATCCAGATTCTAGAATAAGCTACAACGGACTTGAAAAATGAAATGGCCTTCCCCCTGGATTTACAAATTTTTGCTGGGTAACTCATTTATTAAACTTCCAAGTACCTAGAAAAAAATCACATTTTGGTAAAAAATACTTTTGGCAGTTGGCGCTTTCTTTTGAATAAATAATTAACCGCTGCAGAAAATCGAACATATATAGGTATATACAGGGTTATCCAAATTAAGTGTCCACCATTAGTAACTTTGTTATTAGTGAAAATACAAAGTTGTTTGAATTAGCAAACTAGTAGCATTTTTAACGCTGGTAAAAATGAGAAATGAAAAAAAACAATTGAGAGTCGTTATTTTGATTTTTTTCAGTAAAATAACATTTTTTTAAATGGAAACCCCTGTATATTATATTTTTTTCTGTTAAAGCATCAAATTTTAAACAAAAAAGCTTACAATAACTTTTCTCCTAGGTTAAAAATTGTTGAAGTTATGGCCTCCAATCTGAAATAATTAAATTGTATCGACAAACTTTATTTTCAACATCAACTTATAATCTTACAAAAAACAATAACAATTTTTTTTAAAGAAGATGCTCGAAAACACCACCTTGTTCTTCAATACATTTTTGGGCACGTTTTTCAACTGCTCGAACTGTCTTAAGTATGGTCCTACCATCTATCTGGGTTATCTTTTCCCTAACTGCAGTCTTTAACGCGCCAAGGTTATCGTACCTTCGCTTGTAAATTTGGTTCTTTAAGTAACCCCACAAGAAGTAATCAAGTGGGTTTAGATCTGGTGATCTGGGAGGCCACTGTATTGGGCCATTTGTTCCTATCCACTGATCATTAAAAGTAGTACTTAGAAAATGATAAGTACCTCTGGAGTTGTGGGCAGGTGCGCCATCTTGCTGAAAATGCAGATGATGTCTACTTATAAGATCCAATTCGTCTAAGAAATTAGTCAGAATTTCTGACATAAATTCCACATATCTTTCACCAGTTAGGGTTCCCTCATAAAAGAACGGGCCAACAATTTTTGAACCAATTATACCGCACCAAACGTTGAAACTGAAACGGACTTGTGGGCCTCTTGGATGTACTAACAAAAGATTTTCTCTTGACCAATAATGGTGGTTTTTTCTATTAAACATTCCAGAATTTGAAAAATTTGATTCATCTGTCCATAAAAGGTAACGAAAGTTATTTACATTTTGGCGACAGAAGCTAAGATACCAATGGCAAAAAACAAGTCTTCTCTCTGGATCCCCTGCCAAAAGCGTTTGAAGTGGTCGGTACTTATACGGAATAAATTTGTATTTTTTTAAAA